AATGAAGCGCACAAAGATAGGGTCTGCAATGTCTGCAATATTATGAATACGAGTCAAAATTTAGCAAATATTCGAAGCGGGTGATATAGAAATAGAAGATAATTTATTGGAAAATGCAAAAAAATCTTTTTTAAATATTAAATAAAAATTACATGTATTTATTAAAAAAAAAAATTTAATAAATCATATGGGAATATCGTGATTATTAAAATTAAGGGATATACGTGACGATTTATAAATAATTTATAAATAATTTATAAATATTATGCGGCTTCATGATCGGTTTCATAAACAATTTACAATTAAGAAAAGCAATAACCAATTAAATATAATGCTTTATAATTATTATGCGGTTTCATAAAGCGATTTATAAGCGGATCATAGTTAAGGAAAGAAATTAACCAGCCAAATACAACAATTTTACCGCAATATCAATTCTATTATTACAGTATTACCCGTGCTTATAGTCAAAAATTCGCAATTTTGATTGGTTGAATCGATATGCAGATCAGCGGTCCTGAGTCAAACCATGGTTTCCATATTTGGGACGGTCCTACCTGGATATCTTCCCCAGTATCGCCAACAAAATTTTCACAGTCACGTGTTACCCTCAAAATTTTAAAGTTCGTTTATGTTAGGGTTAGAGCTTATATTAAGGTTAGATAAAAGTGGTTTTTATAGTAAAATCACTCAAGGAAAACTTTTTGTTAGAGTACGAAAGGTGATTTCTTATGTAAATTTTTGAGAATAACCGATTTTTTTTAAAACGAACGTTTGTTTTGAATTTTTCTGATCGTGTTACGTTACACCAACCCATGATTTATTATTGGCTGACTTTTGTCGATCACCACGTGACCGTGAAAATTTTATTAATGAGTTGTTGGCGATACTGGGGTAGTTCTACCTGGATACGGAGATCACGTGGATTTCACGATAATCCGATTTCACGATAATCCGCGACAATTTTTAAAGTTCGACAAAACGTTTTATTTATGGTGGTAATTACGGAATCCACAGAATCAGCACCAAACTTTATAGCTTTTTACTACACAAATGAGGCTGAGGATTGGAACTGCAGTAATATAGTAGAGTATTATCGCGTGAAATCTAAACAGAAAGAAAGGAAAAAGATTCTAGATTACATTAAAAAAGATATTCAAAAGGTAGATGATTTAGTTTTCGAGTTTGATGAGACGCGTAGAAGAAAAGCTAGGGAAATTCTGGACAATTGGAAAGTATGGGCGCTTTTTGCAAAGAAGCTAGCTAAACAAGTTAAATGCTTAGTCCAACAGTAATGAACTCTTCGTTCGACACTTAGTGCAAGCTGGGACTCTTCGTCTCCAGTGATGAACTCTTCGTTCGATGCTTAGTGCAAGCTGGGACTCTTCGTCTAAAGGATAGCTTTTAACTTGATGCTTCTTTTTGCTCTATACTGTTAGTGGAAAACTCTTTTCTAACTAACTCTATTTTTTTTAAGGAATGGAGTTCACCAAAAAAGAACAATTTAACCAGAAGTTCTTCACACATTTTTTCTTTCACAGATTGTCGTTTAGTGAGTAATGTCTATAATAATAAAAATCATCAAATAAGTA